AACGAATCATCCGGCACGATGTTACGATTCAAATGGAAACGTGAAACCATATAATTTAACCATTCCCCGGGATGAATGTGATTTCGCTCCTCTTTTCACTCGTCACCCTGGAAAGATGGACGCGTGTTGCGGGATTAATTGAATCGCGTATTGTAAACACGAAAGATGATTCGTTGCTCGTGCGCCAGCGAATATTGCAGTTTCATCGACGAAAGCGTTCCCGCGAATAACGCTTGATTAATCCCGACGTGCCGTGTTGTATGAACAATTTTTTACGAACCATTCATAGAGTATATCTGTTGGGGTTGCTTTTATCCGGGATTTCAACCGACGCGACACGTTGCAAGCACAAGCGGGACAAAAATTTCCATCTTCTTCAGAGAATTTTTCTCATCCCCCTGATGGAAAACGGCGCGAACATCGCGCTTGAACAGAGCGAACGAAGAATGAAGGGGGGGTGGGAAAATCGCGGGGAGTGAGACAAACGAGGGTTGAATGGCCGTTTGCGAAATTATTGGGTAGAAAGAGGGAAATCGGGTGCAATCCGTGCGCGGCTAACCACAAATGCCGAGCGAACGAATATATTCGTCCCTTTCTCTCGTTCTCTTTCGTACGTTTAGACGCGTCTCCTTGTCCCCCTATCACTCCCTCGACGTTTCATCCCTCTCGAATTTCCTGGCCGACCCCCGCGCCCTTACTAGAACCCATCCCCCCGTTTCTCTCGGGCTGCTCATCGGAAATCATTGCCACGCCGCCAATTGTTAGCCGGTGGTACACTGGATTGGCTCAGGCGCAAACGCGTAACCTCTGTTATTCGAACGTTAAAGGGACTTCGACGTTCTCGATATTAGCATTTTCGCTTTGCATCCGTCACAATTCGCCGATCACCCGTTGCGACTGACCTTTGGGTACCCTGCTCGTGATTGGTCGTTATTTGAAAGAAAAGAAAGACTGAAATTTTCATTTTATATTCATAAGCATTTACTCGCGATACCTTACTTACCTTTATCACGATTTCTTCTTTCAAACAAAAAACACTACCCCTTTATCATTTCTCAACTACCCTAGCGGTACCGTTTACGTCCTCATTCGGAACGGTTTTATTTGAAAAGTTTTCTGCCCCGTGGATAAAACAGCGAACGCAAAAAACATCGTAGTCGTCTCGTTTGCAGAAGGTACATAAATCGGTACGCTCTTCATATTTCCCCTTTAATATCTCGCTGTTCCGCGTCATTGTTCTCTCCCGGCCATTGCTCATCGGAAATCATGCCCACACCGCCAATTGTCAATCGCCAGCAGCCAGCATTGGCTTCGATCCAATACAACTAAGTTCCTCGATTCTGCGCGGCCACGATATCGTGTTATCCGAATTGTCCGGATATCCGACGGATCGAGACAATCGATGCAACGTAAACCTCGAGTTTCACTCGTCGCACGAAGGTGGCGGAGATTAATTTGTCCAGAAAATTCGTGCATTCAAACATTCTCTCCGGAGGGGGTTAAATCGAATCGGTACCGTTTCCTCTTTATTTCATCGTTTATTTAACCGCGATCGATAACAAGCTGCAAATCGTTTGTATCACGGCGCGACTGGTATATTCCTCTTCGTAATAGCTTCGTTTCCTGAAACCAAGAGACAGAGTTAGCTACAACGCGACTCGTTATTAGCTTGATTGAAATGTGAAAAAAGAAAGGAACAGAGGAGAATGGAAAATGGAATGCGGATCCATTAAAAAGTTTAGACTCCCTCGTGCAGAGAGAGGAGGCTCGACGAGGTTCGTTAGACATTCCAATCAACCGAACAATTAATGTTTTGCCAACCAACGCGTTGTTCGAAAGGATAATTAAACGAGCGAATCCACGCGTAATCGGGAAACTTTCCCGGCACCTTTACTTTCCGTACATTAGATTACTCGTATCCTTTGATACGTTTCACTTATGCTATCAGCTCGTTTCATTTTTTTTTTTTATTTTTCGAAAAAGAACCCTGAGGCAAGTATCCGTTGGATATTCACGAAAATATTCGTTTCCATTTAACAAGAGATTCTTGCTCGCGATTGGAACGTCGAATTGAAAGAGGAGATGAACGAAATTATTTATGGCCGGGAGGAAGTTGTAGGCACGCAACGATCAACCCCTAAGACTCGTTGCATGCAAACTCGTTTCCATCAGTATTTCAAGTTATAGCAACGAAACCTTTCACCCTGCCTTACGTTTCCTCGAGAATTTGCGAAGAAGTGTTCAGCGAGAATTCCTGGTGGTCGATGAGCAGAATAACTCCTCCCTGAAGTGCAGTAACCTCGGCAGAAGAGTCTCGGGGCCTCTCTGAGATCGCAGGAAAGTCTTATGACCCGTGCAAAATGAATGCATCCCCCACGCAAGTTGCATCCTTTTCATCCCCCGTACGATCTCATCGCCATTCAACCGCTCGCTAAATCGAGCATCCCCGTAAAACGAAATACGGAATTTCATTTGAATCCTTCGTCGTTTCGGTCTCGGCTCCTTTTTCGTTCAGACCTGCCTCCATTTTTTCCCCTTATTTATCCTTTATCTTTACCGAAACACAGAGAAACGGTTTGATAAAATTATTTACATAGAAATTGCGCTCCCGAACAGAGAAAAGCGAAATTGCCTCGCGTGACACTGTTCCATTTGCTTCCTTTTTTTTTTTCCTTTTCTTTTCGTGAAATTATCCAACGTAAATGAAAGTATACGAGCAGGGCGGATAAAACCTACTAAACGCAACATTTTTTTTCATTAGCTACTTGAAAATAATATATTTCCGACTGCTGAAAATTAATGATTCAACGACGCGAAGACGTTCCGTCGAAAAGTGTAACGAAAGCCGAAAGAAATAGAGCGATGTATTTTCTGACAGCAAAGACGAAGAGTGTACGAGGGGTAGTTTTGCTCGTTTCGGATGTGGAAAACATCCCCTCGATGAGACGATGCGGTTACGTCGGTTTCCTCCTTCCGACTCCCTTTTCGTTACCCTTCTCTTCGTCCTCCCTTTAACCGTACTTACGTATCCCCGAACAGGTTACAAACGACCGGCACGGTATTACAAGCCGCAAATTACACCTCCGCCCTCGCTGCCACGCGAATGTGCGAGCCCAAGACTGTTGGATTACAGCCCCGACTGCGAAAGCTTCCGTTGGAATACCAGCATGCTCTTCTCGAAAACGGAACGCTTCCGGGCTTCCGAGATAAATTAGGGAGAAGAATATTAACTGTCGTTAGGTAGACAATTATTGGGACTCGGTAATGCGCGAAAATGCTTCTTCTTCGAAGTAAACGCATATCCAGGTGATTTCCAGGTATATATCAATGAACATTTAATTTAATTAGAATTTTAGCAATAAATTAGTAACTGTACACATTAGTCTAGCATTCTTGTAAAGCAAAAGGTTCACCTGTTCGCGGTGAAAAAGGTGGATCGTAAAGAAAGAACTTTCTGTTAAATGTTTCCCGCCTAGTCGTGTTAAGGGTGGCAGGAAACATGGAAACTAAGTCGTTGGCCAAAAATTACGGTGGGAAGAAGGCGGAAAGTTTTCGGTGTAATCTCGTGCTGTGGTTTAATTTTCCGGAATTATGCATCCGCTCGAAAACGCGCGCGTATCTAAATTCCCTCTTTTCCCCAACCTGACGATCCTTTTCGTCTTTTCGACCGTAATAACACCGGAACAAAGGGAATCTCGTGGCATTACGTCGTTTCATTAATTAATTTACACCGGCGCAGCACTGGATTACGAAGCCCGTGAATGATTCCGTTCCTCCCCCGCGTACAGGGCACCGCGCAAAGTATTGCGGAACGAGAAAAATGATATCATCATTTGTCTACAGTGTACATAAACAGACAAATGGAATTATATTTATATGATAACCAGCATCTCTTGCAAAGATGATGATTTACTTAACCTCGTTCCGGGGTCCTTGACACCCCCGATGCCATAATATCGGTATACAGAGAGCGCCACCGATGCATCGGGGTCCCTAACACCCCAAGATGATATCATCGGGGTCCTTGACACCCCAGATGCTGTAATTTCGGTATGCAGTTTCAGGTGCTTTGGGGTCCCTGACGCCCCGGGTACCGTAGTGTCGGTAGGCAGTTTCGGGCGCTTTGGGGTTCCTAACACCCCAAGATGATATCACCGGGGTCCTTGATACCCCAGATACCGAAATTTCGGTATGGAGTGTCAGGCGCTATGGGGTCCTTGACACCCCAGATGCCGTAATGTCGGTATGCGGTTTCAACCGTTTTAGGATTCCGAACACCCCTAGATCATATCGTCGGGGTCCTTGACACCCCGGATTCCGCAATGTCAGTATGCAGTGCCGCCGGCGCTTTGGGGTCCGTAATACCCCATGATGATGTCACTGGGGTCCTTGACACCCCGGATGCCGTAATTTCGGCATGCAATTTCAGGCGCTTTGGGGTCCTCGACACCCCGGATGCCATAACGTCGGTATGCAGAGCGTCACCGGTGCTTTGGGGTCCCTAACACCCCAATATGATATAAGATCAATGGTACTTTTTAAAATAATGCTTTCAAAACAGGTTTAGCTTGTATAAATAAATAAATCTTAATGAATGAATAATTTTGAAAGTTAACGAAGAGGAAAAATTGCTTTTACTATCTCTAGGTTCTGAAGATCGAAAGGGACAAAAGTATTCTTAGGGGGTTTATTAAATAGCATCTTTCCTTTTTTTATTTTCAATATTAAGTATTTATTACATACAAGCATTTATACAATACGAAGTATTTTTAGACATGACTGATGATATTTAGCATTCTCAGTATTTTTATGTTTAGAAACATTCTTTCGTATGTATTTGAGATTATTATTATTATCATTGTTATTATTATTATAGTTATTATTATTACATGTCCTTATAGAGTAGGTTTTAGTTAGACCGAATAGAATAGTTTGAATAAATAAACTCCATATATAGTCATTGCATACTTCTGTCGCGGGAAAACAACGCCGTACTTTTCTTTTTCTTTATTAATTAAAAATAATATAATCCTCGTGATGTGTCGAGTTATAATTGCGTTAATATTCATTTGATATTCCCTTTTACACGGTATCGTATACTACGCGCTCGAAGAAGCTTTATTAGGCAATTAAAGATGTCTTAGGATCGTATGCTTCTGTACAGCAGTATGTGCTACAGTGTTCGATAAAAATACATGTTCGTTCATCGTTAAAATATTAGTCGTTCGAAATCGGTTTTTCGATATAAAAGGAGCAAAGGAAAACTTTTTGCGGCATATACGTACACGTGTGCTCGAAGACCTTAGATTTAAAATGAATGTATACGGGTAAAAGGAAACCGACAGCAAGCGTGCAGCATAAAAATTCTTTTCTTTTTCGTATATATGCAGATAACAGTCGGGGGAATTCGCAATATCCCGTGTAGCACGAAACGCAACAAAAAGAAGATTAAAAGAGAAACAAACAAGTGTAAAATATCCCTACCGATTAATGATATATCCATTCAGACACATGGATGATTCCTTTTTTATTTCTGCTATTTTGAAGACTTACGGGATAATCGGATCACTCTATTATCTTTCGTACGATAGACCATACGAGTCAATTGTGTCACGCATCAACGCTCGTGCAGGTGTTTTGAACACAAAGCATGCTAATGATTATCCATTTTACAATAGTATGCCACAACAGTAACAAATAACTCATGTCATAGACACCCAATTACAATGTTTTGTTTGCTCAATAACATCAGGCTTTAGAATAATCGTTTCCTAATCTGTATACTAATATGATACCACTATAATGAATAGCCACCACTGGATAACGCAACGTGACCATCTAATTTTGCCCATTCGATTTCTCATAAAATATCTCTGCCGAGACTGACCACTTCGCTAGATCCTCCATTATTATTACGCTAACTGTAGCGGATTGAAACGTGTAGACTACACTTTCACCATCATCTATCACGGCTAGCAAAAGATTATTTAAAAAATAAAGTAACGGGTAGCTATCGTTCTCTTATATTCCGTAAACGTATGCAGTGGCTATTTCACAAAGCAAATCACCGTCTTCGTCAACGTCTTCATCATCACAGCTAGAAAATTTATGTTAGATCCGCGAAAATATAACGGTAATGAAATCTAGTGGATACCTAGAGTACCAATATTAGGTGAGTTTTCTATAAAAAAAAAAAAAGAAAGAAACAAAAGGAAAAAAGAGAATATTACAAAAAAAGAAAAACAGTAAAATTGCTTGACTAGTGAGCGCACGCCCCAAAATGTATTATGGAAGAAATGTGTTTCTTTTTTTTCTTTTTTCGTTTTTTACATCATATCTGCAAACGATCTTACTAGATATGATTATACATAGATTCATTTTTCTATACTCGAATTCTATAAGGTAATATTATACTATCTCTTATATAAGAACAATCATTGGAGCTTACCTCCTACGTCATTTTGGCAGATACATGTAGTTCTGTAAGAAATTTTCAACCAATGCATAATCTTGTGCTATATTTGCGTCAAGCCGTTTTACACACTCGTTCACGACACGTTATATAAAACTGCGAATATATCAATTTCTTTTTCCCTGTCGAATTCGACATAGTCAAATTTCTGAACATAAACTGTTTAACAGTACAGGCAGGGAAACAAAAGAACGTGTAAAATTAATTGAATAAAATTTGATACAATAAAATATGTATATATCCGCGTATTATACTTTCAAATCAATACGTTAGGTCTAATTCCCTTCAAAGGTCCTCTAAAAAGATTCGATTTATATTATCTAAATAGCATACTATAACGGACTGAGTTGCCTATCTGCTGGTTTCGTAATATTATTAATTAACATTATATATTATTTTACATTTCTCGTGACAACGTTCAAGGAAAAGGTAATCTTTTTCGTTTTCTTATTTTTTTTTTGTCTGTTTGTTTGTTTGACGTAGTACCCCCATTCTCTACTCATAGATCTCCACTTTTTTCGTTTCCTTTCATTTTCTACACATCGATATAGCGCTTATTTACATTATCTCATCAATGACGTCATTTATTATGTACCCCTATTGCTCGTTGCAAAGCAACAACGGTATTCTCAACTTCCGATCGTTCTTCTTCCTTTCACCAGAATTGTTTAACACGCGGATTATGATAAAAGATCTGCAGATGAAGAACATTGATGTTACATATCGTACACAATGATTAATTATTACGGTCTGCCAATACAACAAAAATATTAACCCCCGGATAGCGGCGCTGGATCTTTTATAACCATTTCGTTTGAAAATTTGAATGCTTCGTTTTAGTACAGTGTGGGTTCACCATTGATCCAGCCACCCCCGTTCGAGGGTTAATTAACACTTACACATACCTGGTACTTGACTATTATCTTGTGGTTTGTTGTTGATAAAAGAATCCTGGAACGGATTTACATTGGCATTAGCAGCAGTAGGCATGTACGTGTTCGCCATTGGGGTGAAAGGTATTGCTGCTGGATTTAGGTTCGAGTTGAGAGTGTCTTCGTTCTCCATATTTGATGTCAGTTGAAGTATTGGACCACTACTGCTATTACTGAGAGAGTCGAATTCCGTTAGGTCTAACAGGTTGTTGGTCACGTTGTTTTGTTTGCTACAAAATCAGCGAAAGGAAACATACAGACACTAAGAAATAATAGGCAAATTACACTAATAATACTACTTGCCTCAGCGTATTCGAAATTACAATTGCTAAATCGTTCAAGCCAATCGTAGAAGATTAATAACTTGCTAAAATTAATATGTACACAATAGTACGATAGTTTCTTGAATCGTTTCATTTAGAAATTTAATAGTAGAGTATCTAAAGAGACTATATTTTTTAATACGTAACAAAGAAAATAAAGAATGAACAACTATATACTTTATACTTAATTCTTCCAAGTATTGTTCCTAGTAATGCTTATTTCTGCATCAGCGCTCTATTGCTGACTAATGATATTTTGAAAGGCAGCTACTTTATTACTGTTAAGCAGCTATAAAAAGCATTCGTATATGCTTGGTGAACTTATAGAAAATTCTATAGCACAACGGAAATCGTATACACAGGGCGACAGGAAAGTGGAATACTGGAAAATGAGTGGTATCTATTACCAAAGTGTAGCTACTCGTTTTCCTGTCACCCTGTGTACAAAACACAATTGAGACGCAACAAAATTTCTTCACTCGATAAAAATTATAGATAGGTGTAACGAATAATGTATATACAAGATACTACCATACAGCAGGTTCGTAAATCTGATTACAAAGATTTAGTTATATTCGCCTGAATTCACTGTCTGGATTTCTCTTATTTTATAGACAAGAAATTATTCATGCCTCGGTTCGACATCGGTTTCCTATAGGAACTAGTGGAACGATGAATAGTGTGACATACAACACATTTGTCGTACAACAAAAGAATAACGTTCAAAAATGATACGTGTGAAGGTTGATAAGTACATAGCAAAAGTAGACAGTAAGTTGACACGTACTGCTGGATGATACACAACACAAACATAAAGAAAGTGTACAAAGTAGAGCAAAGAAAATTCACAAGCCACACCATATGGATACAATATATTAATCCACAACATGCAATTTGGTGACAATAAGAATTGATAAGAAAACTCTTTAGTATAAATATACTTAAGGCGTGGATGGTCAGCTTAAATGGTAACTAATTGGAGGATAAAGATAAAGTAATAGCTCATCAAAGATGACCTGTTATATTTTCGTATATTAAAAAAAAAAGAAAAAAAAACATGGAAAAGTTTCTAACATAATAATGAAAACAGTATCTTTGATGAGCTTGTGTGATGAAATTACAACGAAAATTTTTTTTTAGATGAGTCATTCAATTTATGCTATTTATCTTTCTTTACATTATGTACACTGAATTTATTATTCATTATTAGTTGATTTTTAACGCTATAGCTCTGTTAGTCGTTTAACATTTCCATGCTTCGTATAACATTACACGTTTTATGCCATTAACATATTTACTAAAAAGAATCGACGGTACAATAATAAGTTAAATTTCTTATTTTTTTTTTGTTTTGTTTCTTTCGTATTTCTTTTAAACGTCTACCTAAAAATATTATATTTTTAACTAGTACATGATTAAATATAAATTATAAAATATATATATATATATATATAAGTATAATAGACAATACAATATACATTCTTCGTACCTCTCGTATTACCGATGATATATCTATATATATATATCATAATATTCAATGTAATTAATTTTTGTTAGTTGCTGGTATAGTCGTGCGATTAGGTGTATCTTTTAATAACGATAAATAATTGCCGTAAAATTCATCTTCCATATCTGTCAACCATTGCTCTGACTACTTTTGCAATGTACAATATATGTAAAATCATTTGTATCATAATGATATTAATATAAAGCAATTTCTATCGAGCTGAATAAAAATTGGATAAGCAGTCGCCTCTGATACAAATCTCAAGAAAGCACAATTGATATTGTTATTCAAACAACTATGTATAGTGTACATATAGCGTACATATTTTGTATTTATTTATTTCAAAATTGATCTTTTGTTATCATACGAATACCACAAAAAAAACATCTCAAATAACAAAATTCATTATATACATATTAACTATGATAAATTCTCAATATACCACGTGCTTTCATATTTCAGAATATACGTACAAGATTATAGTTGTTCGCATCCCACGATTCTTAATTCGTGAGGGTTTTTATTTAGCAATTAAGCGTTATTGTACACGTTACTGTACCGAATCATTCTTTTTAAATTGTGTCTGTCAAAATGATACATTGCGCTTACTGTGTGTATATTTAATGTGGCACATACTCCAATCCTGCTAGATTTTATATTCATTTGGAAAACAATACTCGCACTCTAGTCATTACATTCAATGTTCTTTTTTTTTACTCTGTTTGAAAAACTATGATGTAAATTACCTATATTAATATCGTAGTTAACAATACAGGCGCAAGTTTAATGTAGGTAAAAAGCAATTATCATAAACGATCATTTGAAAACAAGCTAATTAACTACAATTTCACAGGCAGTTATTTATAATTCACATTGCATGTGCGTTTTTATCAATTCACTGTGAATCTATAAATAACCTTCATTATACAAATGTCTATGACTAGAGCATTACCCTGAATCATTCAAAATACAGAGTAATATACGTATAAGCATCTTGCTTATCTTTTTTCCTTTTACATTATGTTTCTGGCATTACAGTCGAACATTGCGTGGTGCACATTTTGATTGAAATTTAACTTTTATTTTTTGTTTTTGTCTTTTGATTTCTAGAGTACTGAACTGCATTTCGTGTTTTTTAAATTTTTCTTTCATTATGCGACAAATATGTTCATACATATTTGTGTGAACGGCACTAAAAAGTCAGTCAATTTTTCTTTCTTTTTTTTCGTACATAATGGCTAGTGTTGTGCAATTATTTATATTATATTAATTACATTATTTAGCCGTAACTTGTTTCCAAAAGTAATTATAATTGCACACTGATAAATATAATACCTAGCGTCGAATGTATATGTATATTATATATTTACGTATCGTATTCACACAAAACTCTAGATAAAATATTGATTTCGTAGAAATAACGTTTCTAAAATGCTTGATAATAGGACTGGATGAATCAGAAGAACGATTTTCGTATCTGGAAAAATATTTCCTTACTCTATGGTGAAAAAGCGCTTCAAGAACGAAAAAAATAAATATCATCAAAAACTTCATGAAAATTCCTACAATATGGGAGTATACATTGTGTTCGAGGAGTTTCAGCGGATATTATAAGCCTTGCACGGGCATTCATTCATATAATATTATTGTCGAATGATTTAAAAAACAAATGAACTTACAATTCTTTGAGATGCTCTTCGATGTGTAATCTTTCAGTATTGTTTGTTTATTTTATTGTTTTTTTTTTTTTTTTTTTTTTTTGTTTAATCGATGAGAAATCCAGTTATATGTTGGACTTTTTTGTTTGGTATGACGGTCGGTAGATGTAAATATGTAACTCTTATGTTAATGTAAATGTTTCGTCACAAATCTGTAACTTTTAATTTGATATACTTACACGGTGGCATTGTCCAGTGTAATCGATTGACTGTTGATACCGTTTCCGTGATTCGTATGATGACCGTTCAGTTCTTCCACATTACCCTGATTATTATCCAATACAATTTTATTTTCATTAATGCCGTTACTATGTGTGCCATTATGCACAATGTCCGTAGTAGTATTGTTCTCAGTATGATGAGCCCGTTGTTCACCGCTAATAAATTGCTGGGTCGCCTCGGATATCAGACTGGCCGTCATAACATCTTCACCTTTGCTACCCGGTGCCGTTTTATTTTCATCGTTAGGACTGTCTTCTTTCAGTTTATCGCCATCACCACCTTCTCCCTGTGCAATTCAAACAAAACCATCTCTTGATTAGCCCCCTGAGTAGTGGTGGATATACGAAATTCCTTCTCACAAATTTTCAAACAATTCAAACAGACTCGAGTTTTGATATCGATTAAGTTTTAAGTTCCACAATAATTTAAGTATGAAAAATTCCACACTCAAAGGGTTAAAAGAGATGTACCGATGATATTGAAAATAATACCTTGGTAGGTGTATTGCTCTGATTCTTCCCTCGAGTTCTAATCATTATTGCCTCGACGCGTTTACGTCTAGCGATTCGCTCTTCTTCTTCCCTCTTAAGCCGCTCCGCCATTTCGATCCGCTGTCTGCAACAAAAACATTGAACCACTCATGGTTAAGCAATTCAACGGATCACTGATCAAGACAAATGATCAAATGTCGAAGAAATGAACCACCAACCTTTCTTCTTCTTCTCTTGCCTTTCGATCAGCCTCTTCTTTCTCTTGTTTCTGACGAGCCTCTTCCTCTCTTCTTCTCCTATCCTCTTCTTCGCGACGTTTCGCTTCTTCGATCGCCAATCTCAGTCTCTGTTCTTCAGCTTCTCGTGCCTCGTTGGCCAAACGCAGCGTTTCTTCTTCCAAACGTCGCTGTTCTTCTTCTTCGGCACGCAATCTCTCGGCCTCTAAACGCGCCTCTTCTTCCTGTTGACAAACATCTCTTTATCAAGCCTTTTTCCTTCGCTAATACTCCGGTTGCCTGTACGAAAAAGTTCAACAAAACCGCACCTGTCGTTGGCGTTCGAGTTCCGCTTCCCTTTCAGCCTGTTCTCTAGCCAGTCTTCTGCGTTCCGCTATGGCTGCTTTAGCTTCTTCTTCCGTGGTAATTCGGATCTTCGCGATCATCGAAGCTAAAAAACGCCCATCGTCAGCCTGGAATTTACATTCAAACACTTTAGCCTCTACTTACCTGACATGTCGACTTGTTCTTCCGTGTTACTTTCTGATTTTGTTTCCGCTTCTTTCTTCTCGTTCTTCGTATCCTCTTTCTTAGTGACTTTAGGTGTTTCTTGGCTATCCTGATTCAAGTTAGTCTCGTCCTTTGCCTGTTTGGAAACTGGCTGCTCGATAATGACTTGCTTCTTCACTTCTTCCCTACCGTGTTCGCTTATTTCCTGCTGCAATTAATGGGGAAAACGAATGAAACGAGTTCACGGGTCAAAGTATAGTCGGTGGTAATAATTTAATTAGCCAAATGGAACGATTAATCACTTGCGTCTTCTCGGTGCCTTGATCTTTCTTTTCTTCTTGCTTGTCCTCCAACTTGACATCCTTTTTGCCTTCGTTCTTGATTATCTCGCCGGCGCATTCGCGAATAAGAGGAACATTCTCGGCGCCCGGGCTCTGTAACGGGGTCGCTTTCGGCGTTATCCGCGGGGACGCCTTTGCGTTCTTCACTAACTTCTCCGTCGGTCTCCTCACCTCTGTCGCTTTTGGTGTAGAAGGTTTCTTTGGAGTGCTGTGGACCTTTGGCAGTGGCGGCTTCGAATCCTTCGTCAACTTTGTGTCGCTCAACAAATCTGCGATAGCAATTCCTCGCTGACAATACGCGCGAGCAAATTCTCTTTACGGACGCGCGCGAGTATTTAAATGTGCAATCTCGAGAACATAATAATAATAATAATAAAAAAAAATTATAATAATAATAGTGACAGTGTAAATAGGGGGAAAAAAAATATAACAAAAATCGAACCAATCAAAAGTGGAATTAATCGAAAGAGGGGTTGATTTCAATCAAACGTGACATCAAAACGAAAGTGGAGCCTCCTCTTTCGAGGATAACACTTTCTCTCTTTCTCTCTCAACATTCAAACGATGGACATCGTGTAGACGATTAATAAGAAGAGTATTGATGCTCACTGTGTCGTTCTGTGATCGAAACACCGGTACCGGCAATAGAAGCAGGTCGCGGTCGACGCGGGGCAGCTGTGCGAGGACGCAGATTGACGTTACTGCTGCCCACACTGCTGGCGCTTTGCTGACTCATGGAGCTGTGAGGCCGAGATGGGCTGTTCGGTGTCACCTCCCCGCTGCGGATGCCTACGCGTACCCACCCAAGGTGAACATCTCTTCATTTCCGTGTTTTGTGCATTTTTCTTCGCGCGTTAAACACCAAAGAAAACTAACAAGCAAGGATTACACACGGTTCAGCTACGATTTCGAATGAAACCATAGTAAGTTTCATCCAAATTCGAGCCATCCCATTTGCGAGCCTTCCTTGTAAGCCTGCCGTGGAACACGCGTCGCACCTCAGCGACGTCGCGACAATTTCGTTCGTCGAATTATCGCGTCGGATCGCGTCGGTGCAATTTTAAAATAAATCTCGACAAACTCTCCGATCGTACTTTCTTTTCTTTTTTTCTCTTTCTCTCTCTCTCTCTCTCGCTCGTTCGTTCGCTCGCTCTCTGTTTTTTTATCCGTTTGCTTTCGTTAGGGCTATAGACGGCGTAGATTAAAACAAAAGTAGCGAAATTAAAACAGAAAACAAGCACCGCCACCATAATAATCTAAATTAAAAATGATATTCGTGTCGATTGTGTCATTCGTGAAAGGTAATGTACATCGACGATAATCGAGAAAAAGAAAGAGGCTGGAAATAAACGTTAAGGAAAACTAAAGTAAACCATGTTTATAACAATATAAACAGCAAGAAAGAAAAGAATCGAAGAACGAAAGTGGAGCGATTAATGTATTGCACACTAAATACGATTGCGGTTCGTTTGTACATTCTCAGAAATAATTACGTGCACAAAACGTGTCCGTGTATATTAACTGATAAAATACATTTATATATATTTATATTTATTTATAAGTATAAAAATTGTGTAGCTTACCGGGGACGTTAGAGCGTACCTTCACCTCTGGTACCGAAAAGCCGGTGAGAACTGAGACCATTTTATTTAGTAGGAGCGTTTTGTTAATCAATTCGTCGCATTGTTAAAAAACAAACGATTGTTAAAGAAAAACGAAGCGTTAGACGCTTTGAAAATCAATTGTTAGTCTCTGTACAAATAAGCATTCAAGCGTGCATCGAATTCGCGGAATTTTTTTTTTTTTAGAAAAACACGAACTTATTTTCCGTCTTATTGATTCACAATGGCTCCTCTACTCTCCATTCATACGCATGCACATGTGCACCCAACTCAAGTTACATAGAACCAGTGCGGTATTGATTATACTGTAAGAAGTTTAGATTATACCGAAGATTAGTATAAAGCGGACACGATCGCGAGAGTGTCGCACAGGACAATGATGGATGTGCCTCTATCAATAAAAGGACACCGACTAGTTCATCGTGTGACAGTATCCATCTTATCCACGTTTAATATTTTTTTACAGAGATCTTTAGATACGTATGTGTATGAATTGATCACCGGCGACGAGAGTGGTCGATAAAAGCAACGATGGGCAAGTACGGTGGTGAGAAGGCGGGTGTGCACGGACGTTGCCCGTCAACTCTTCAGCGGGCAATTGATCTGCCCATCGTCGAGTAAAATGATCACCACCGAGTTGAGTGCACAAGAACGATCTTACCTTGCTGCTGTTGGTTCTGATGCTCGCGGGCTTTGCGACGTAGTCTCTCGGCCCTGGTTGGTCTCGGCATTGGAACCGCCCCCGGCAATGTACCCATGCTACGAGAGTTATCTGAGCGTTTGAGGCTCTTGGCCCCGGACGCAGCTAAATGAGACATGCTGCGACTCATGCTAGAAGCGCTCAGAGGCTGGCTTTGCTGTTCCGTCAGTGTGCTAAGTTCTGTCGGACGTTTCCTAGGCTGCGCCAGTTGGTCCAGCCTGGACATGGAGTAAGTCCTACCTGGCGAACGCGTGAAGGCCTTTGCGCTCGAACTGCGACCGGAAGTCGGTGGTCCATCGCGTGGCGACGGTATCGTTGGCATCAGATCGGTGCGTCTCCTGTTCACTCGTAGATAAACCGAGCCAGGTGTTCCCGGCGTTCCGTCGCTCTCTTCACCTGCAACGAGTTCGCCCTTAAGAAGCGAAGCGAAAAGCGAGCACCAAAAAAAAATGGTCGCACTATACAGAGAGAACATATACAAGGCGCGCGTACCTCGAGTAACATAACAATATCCTCGAACATCGTAACAAACACAACAAAATATCGAACTTATTCCCTTTATATCAACTACTTTCACCCGTTCGACTCGTCTCGCTATTCTACATGCTGTTGTGCGTTCAAGCGAAAGATTCTAGAACGCGCGTGTGGTGTGTGTTCTGTTCGATGTTGTTTCATAACGTTTCTAGGAAAAATGAAATCGTCAGACGGTGTCTCGGTACATGCTGACAGTATTGTATAGCAAAGAAATTCTAACACTGTTCGAACTTGTAATATTCAATAGGTTTAAGCTGAATATAAACGGTAACTGTTATTCGATTGCTTCCTCGTACCATATTATTTTACGAGCTATGCTCATTCGTATTCATCCCACAAGAATCTATAGAAAATGTTTATTCAATGTTACAAGTTTATATAGTTGTTGAACAGTGTAATCAGGTAACAACGCACGAAACTGGGTACGTGCACAAACTACCACGACTGCGAAAGCGGTGTTGTAAAACGAAACGACGCATGCAAACGACGCTCGTTGAAGCGGTCAAAATCCCATGCATGCATTTAACGATAGGACAAAGTATTCCTGTTAAACGTCGATATCCACGATTTGCAAAATTAACGGAACAAGATGCTACGAAAAAATCAAGCGATCCAATAAATGTTACGAATTCGAAATCGTTGATGATATCAAAAGCTATTTCACATTAAAGAAATGATTTGTTCTTGGTGCATGATTAAAATTCAAACTTAATTGTAAATACAAAATGTAGTGATGTAAGAAGTTTATGAATGATTATGAGTGTAATGCTTGTAGTATGCAAATTATTTCGTCAATTCTATTGATAGAAAAACTATATTCAATAATTGAGGCACCTCAGCTTCTTCGTATCACTTTCCTCTTTGGAAAGATTATCGTTTAACAAACAACGCTATTAATTAGAGGAAGAAGACTAACAAATTACTTTCTAGTATACAAGAAATACTTTTATCTAATACGATTAGTAGTCCATAGAAAAGTAGAAAAATGTTAGCACCGTTAATAGACAAGTTCGAATAGCACCAGATGCAGTCATTACTAACTAATGGTATGCGTCGTGTAACACCGATTTTGTTTCAAGTTAAAAAATTCCACCATAAACGCTGAATATCCGATCACGCGAAATCGCGTGCTCGATCGTTAACGCTTAAACGTAGCAGTGCACGACGATCGATCCGCTTCTCCTCTGACAGCGAACGCATTAAAACTGCATAGGAGAGGAGTTATAAATTTTCAATCGGTGTTCCATGACTAACCAAAGTGTGTACAGATACGATTTAAGATGAAAGCTAATGGAAAGTGACATGCTTGCAAGAAAGTACATATCCCGATGTGCTAATGAACAAGAGACAAGGATCTTGTATCGACAGCTCATTCTGGAACAACAGAACGATCTCCCCGTTGCAGACAATTTTGTTCTTTTTCTTTAATTTTTATTTTCTTTTTTTTCGCTGTTTTCGACTTCAGGACTCACCACTGGCAGCCCGCTGAATCATCGGACGCCTAGTGTCGCTATCAGACTTATCATCGATGGCAAAGATGTCAGTTGTAGGAGGCAGAGAGAGGCTGGCTCTCTTATGTTTGGCAGGGGTTAAGGGAGGATCAGGGCTAGAATTCCAATTGAACACCTCGTACATGGACGAGGACATTCGCATATCTGCAAACAAACCATTGAACGCTGCAACATTAGGCACTTTCCAATTGATTTATTCTTCATTTTCGTTTTGTTCTTTGTGGCAGGGCAGAGGAACGGGAAGAACATAGAATTTACATATGATTGATAACGAGAAAGGGCATCATGAATGAATATAATATTATTAGTATAAGTTAGATATAGTGCGATTCGTGGATACTTTAACCATCGGAGGCCTGTCACTGGGTATAATTATACCCGCATTTACGCTCCGCTCTATTAAAATTTCATGAAAACCTAAGAATAGGGATTGCGGATTGGTCTCCATTAACCCAGTCACAGACCGCCGCGGGACGATCATTTTATTTAAGGGTTAAAATACATTCTGACTGAGCCACCACCAGTTAAGTACAGATAAAAGAGCGGATGCAAAAGGATCTTAATTACCAAAGGAAATCTATCTCCGTTCAAAGTTACGCTTCTCTAGAGTGAAATTACATTTACTCAGGCAATATTATTCTCTCGCTACGAATTCTCTATGGTACACGACACATGTGCTAACGTTGTAACGCGTACAGATTATAGAGAAGTCGGCAAGCGAAGATGAGGTGCTTCTCGTGTGTTGACAAAGCAAAAAGAAAATCTCGAGTTTATCTTTCAAATTAAATTCTATTTGATGGTGAACCGCGAGAAAAATTAAAACCGGTGGATTGGCTACCAAAAATTATATAAATAAAGAATGAAAAAGTATACCGTAAACCTGAAAAAAGAAAAAAGTAACAAAATATAAATTATACGATGAGTACGATCACGAATGAATTTCTAATAATTTTGATATTTTGATCTTTCATGCTTCGTGACGTAATCGTGTAAAGTTTCATGGTTGTCGTGTGTTGGTGGTCGATGTGTGGTGTTCAGTAATCAAATGTAATCAACGAAATATAATTAGATACAATTAACGCATCGTCGATCAATAAACACTCTCGTTATATTTATAAAAATTATATTCGCACGATCAACAATGCGTTAGGAATAACGATCTCACGATCCTCTAATATCGCTGATTTCATCTCATTTCCTTTTTCCCTATGAACGCGAATAATAAAAACTCGTAAACTGAAAAGAACATAGCGGGCAAGCAACGTTGGAAAATATCAATATCCCGGGGCTTTTTGTGTAAATCCCTGTCTGAAACGTTGTGCATCCATGCGTTACCCACTGCAGCGCATCCATTGCATAACTATAGCACTAAAAGCGCTGTGTGGAAAAAACGCAGTGAGTAAAAGAAGCGGCCCTCGATTGCGCGTCTCAATCATTCTTAGCTCGAACTTATCAGATGACAACGTGGAATAATAATAATAGTCTCACACCAACGACACGATTCGCTAATGACTTTTTACACGAGCTCGAGACCGTACACTATCTTTTCGCGACGATTTGTGACCAATGGTGCAAATAGAAACGGTAGTTAATCATTAAATTCTCTGAGAATTGTGAAATTGTCCGAGGAGGGTAAAGAAAACGTAAAAATTTGCACCATCGCGACACTTGTCGCATTTTGTCTGAAAATCAATCATAATAATGGTTCCGTAAGTTAGCGAGAATAGTCGACTAACCTTCGCCAGGTTTCCGGTCAAGCCCACCGGCGGAAGTGGCTCGTTTCTTGCTTCCATCGAGCTCTCTTTCGGAGGACCTCCTGGTTAACGGCTGAGCAGCTGAGAACATCATCACGTTAGTGGTGGACGTTGCTCTACGCGTTCCCCAAAAAGTGGAACCACCTGTATCAGCTGGCTCCAACATCCTCGGGGTAGAACTTCCGAACGCGAACACGATGTGCGACCTGTCGTTCTTCTTCCTCTTCTCTATACGCGCCTCTCTCTCCTGGTTCTTTCGCAGGATAGCCTCTCGTCTTTCTCTTTCGGCCTCGCATATCAACCGTTTTCTTTCTTCCACTTGGTTTCGTCTGTACGCGAAATAGGAAAATCTGAGACAATCGTGGGAGATCACATTCTATTGTCGTGTAACACTCGCTTAACAGGATGTTTTTCCTTTCCGATTATCTTTATCTCCGAGTTGTATAATTTCACTATAGATATCCGTATCTGTATACGACAAACTAATATTCATTCAGCGTACAGTAGAGAAGCGATTTTGCAGCGGGTGAACTTTATGCAGGTGTCGCGGTAATTTCCCGGGCTTCTGTGCGATGGCGAAACAGTTTAGCCCGGCATCATATTAACCAGGTCAACTTATAACCTCGTAGAGCAGGTAATCTCGTAAAGAGCGTTTAAACACATCAATTCGCGTGGCACAGCTTGCGAAAAAAAAGTCACCCTTAACTGCTCGTTTAGAGAGGTAAAAAAAAATAATCCGATTTCAAACGCGAAGGTAAATTTGCGTGTAAAATTGGGAAAGTGTAGAAATTCCAGCCGTAATTTCCACGATCGGTCATAGAATGAAATAAAAGCACACGAACCTGTCGTTGTCACGCGATCTGAGCTCGTCGATGCGACGTCTGCGTTCCTCTTCCCGTTGCTCCCGGAAGCGTTGCGCGGCTAAGGCTTGCTGTCTCAACTCCTCCAATTTCCGTTGTCGTTCCTCGTTCTGTCTCTCACGGACGAGCTTCGCCCTGTCCACGTCTTTCGCGCTTCCCGCCGACTCGCGTCCTGGGAACAACCGTGAACATCCATTACCTTTCCTCGTTCCGCGAGCTTCTTTATTTTATTTTTAAACATTGCTAAGCGTTAATCGTTCCCTCGGATAGTAGTTCGATAGCGTAAGCGTTGTTTATACATGTGTCTGCGAGAAAAATCTTGTTTCGTGAAAATTGGATGTAGCAATTGATTTTTGAAAAATCTTGATATTATTATTATTGAAACCGTGATAAAAGGGAAACGAGGGAAAAATTAGTCTCGACACTGCCGTTGAAAACCTTCGAGTGATACCTTCATTCTCGGTAGGATGGTCGCCGTCGAGGGAGTCCTCGTCGTAGATACTTTGGCGGCGCTTCACATCTGTCGAGAAAGAAAGTGAGAATATGTGCGTACGCACGTGAGATTTGGAATATATTACGAGCAGAACTCGCGTATAATGGACAGACACACTGCGAAGAGCTGCATGCTGAGCTTAACGGCACACTGATGCATCTCAAAAGCATCTGATGCATTCAAACGCGCATACGTTCCTCTCTTTCGTTCGATCATGCGTCATGCAGTTGTCGTTCGTGGAAAATTGTGTCTAGAAATTACTTTCGTTTCCGTGGAACAGGTAGCTACAGGTTAGAACCTACGATAGACAGTAGAATCGAATAAAATTAATGAAACATAATTTTAAGCGTGGTAAAAGGGGTAAAATCGTGGAACCTCTACGGGGTTTCCATCGCATCGATTCAATTACTTGATAAAATCAATGAATTTTCCCTCGACGCAAGTACTTTCTTTTTTTTTTTTAAGGCGACGATGTTTTTATCAGTTCACAAGAAACAGCGAGAAATAAATTCTGTTCTCTGTTACATCCGGAAAGGAAGGCCACCGCTTTTCCACGATATCAACGCGTTTCAGTCGCTCGACGGCTAATGCGATTATTAAAAATAGGACACACAGAAATGCTCGATTTATTGCTTTAAAGCCTGCATCACCTCGAACCGTGTTCCAAAAGCTTGATACCGAATTAAATTCGATTTTTCTTCTTTTCACGAAAGCTCGAAATACGAGGAATAAGCGTTTACTGGGTTAAACAGTCTCGTTCAATGTTAATTTTTCCAAACTTGATTAAATTACAATCCAACCCTTGAATCACGCACGAACACACGAACACTGTGGTCAGTTCCAATTTCGACAGAGGAGATTACTATATTAATACGCACTCGTGGCACGGTGAAATTTAATTCCGTGCAAATATCGCGACGAATTTGCCAAAGCACACCGTTCACGTGTTTACCAAGCTGATTATTACCTGACGAATCGGGAGAGGCGTCGTCACCTCCGATTTGGGCGAACCAATGCATCGTTTGCTCTGCAGAATAGAAATTTCAAATTTGTTCCTACAAAATTCTTGCCTCTTAAACGCTGAATTACGCGACAAATAATAAACATTCTCCATTTTGTTGCATAAATGTTTCAAGAAATCATTTCGCGAAACGCTTAAACGCGAAAGAAACGAAAGGTAAAATGAAAAGCAAATTCTGAGCCGTCAATAAGGTATCGTACTTTCACGCTAACGATACGATTTGCAAACGACTGCCGTTAATTGCGAGCCAGATCGCTTATTTTCGACATCTGGCGACACTCGTCGAATTCGCTTTCAACTTTCAGCAAACAGCAGGAGCGTTTCATTGAACGTTGATGCTTCCGCTCGGTGATTGCGAATGTCGCGAGGGAAAAAGCGCGACGGCGCGGCATAGCAGTCTCATCGCGACCATCCTCCACGATAATTGATAATTGGAAAACGAACGGCCACGAATAGGTATTGGAACGCAACACGCTTGATGCCCAGTAACGGTCTGTAGAATCGTAAATGGACGCTGAAGAGCGGTTGCCAAATATTAGTTTAAATCTCCTACATACTACTTTCCCATTAACTGCGAACATAATAGTACTCACAATCAGAATTGGTACTTTCGAATAACTGCGATATGAAACGTGTTAAACTTACAGAAGTACAGATACAAATATTAATTTCTATCCGATTATCGATTACACGAGCCTTCTATATATTTTTTTTAATTACACTTCGGCTAGTTTATTTTCGACGATTAAAAAAGAGGCAGCCAGTTCGTTTCCGAACGACTGTAGGGAGGAAGACAGCCGGTAGCTGGCGATGTTGTTTCCGGCTGCTGACTGCAAATGTCAGGAGAGAAGAAAAAGTGCGAGGGAGCAAAAGGGGAGAGCCGTGGACCGCCTCGTGGCAACCGTTGATGGTAATTGGACGTTTCATTAGCAATGCGGATGCGGAATCGAACGAGGGACGAAGACCATAACAGGAGAGAGAGATAGAGAGAGAAGGGGGGGGCGTATTTGAGAGAAAGGGAAACAGGGTGAAAGCGTTTCGACGTTACGGATATAAAATTCTGTTGGACGCATCGAAGGCGGCTTGTCAACGAAACGAGCGAACGATGCATCTCTACACACGTCTGCAAATTAGGAAAAAAAAATACTATTGAAAACCTGGCCGGGCATTAAGCTCGCCGCATAATTAATATCGACGCTCCACTTTCTGGGCGAACGTATAGAAAATGCCACGATTGCACGGTTACGCAAATCAATATTTTACTGCTTTGCAACCCAATTTCAGTTTCCGAAAAAATGTTGAATGTACGCGAATAAATGGGAATAAAAGAGAACGCGACCTCTCGAAGGCGATTGTTGCGAGAGGGGAAAAATGGTAAGCAAAAAAAAAAAAAAGATTTTTCCCGGAAAAATGTCTTTTAGACAATGATTTAAATTACAGCGGTCTGGAAGTACAATGGGCCCCGCTTTTCGAGAGAATGCTGGAAAAACGTCGAGAGGCCCTCGGCGGTGGATGTAAGTGAGTCGGAAGACAATGGGAATCCAGCTTTTTCATCTGTTTCCGCGTTGAAATTGAAATTTCACCGTGAAGAAACCTAATTGCAGACCGAGAGTTTTGAACCGCGGTATAGTTTTCAACCATCTCGGAAACGTTCCCTTATCTCCTTGGAACGTTTCACTCCAAGTTTCGAAGCCCCATCGAAAGCTTTCAGCCTGATCAATAGATACAAACCGTACTGTTTGATTGCAAACTTATTAATCGATTCAACTGCTCTTAATCGAAGTGGAAAGTTTTGATGAGATTCAAGATCGCCGATCGGTTTGATTCTTAGACACTCGCCTCGGAGACGAAATTAAATCAGAAAAGTTAACCAGCGAGGATGAATTTATTCTGTGTTAGATCAAAGATTTCTGCCTCTTTATGGCATTAGTAGGTGATTAAACGAAATAGAATAACTAGTTTATTCTCGTTACTATAAATCAGCAGCATGTAACGTGTTTCCTAAAATAATTCAATTAATACCATAACGAGAAATTAACGCGTTGACCGCCACAGTAGAAATAATCATATTTAGTCTGCCATACTGTAATATGGATTATTAACGCAGTGACTACTCGAATGAAAATGGTAAGCCTGACAAAATAAAATACTGAAACATGCAGAAAAACGTAATCCATCGTCAAAAGGGACGAGTGTATTAATTATTTAACCAGAATAAATTCGTCAGTAGTATAGGTAAATAATTAAGTAGTACAGATCAACGGTAACCGCCATGGTGGTAAACATGTTAATGTATGTTAAAAATTTTTATGTATTCGATATCGAAGCGCGAAAAAGCAATTGCAGATAGCGTGAATAATGAATAGGAACGGGTAGGAGGTGTGTTCTGTAACCGAGCGACAGAAAGGCACACTTTTCTTTCAGGGAAAGAAACGACAAAGAGCACGCAGCCGATTGAACGTCCGTACAGCGGGGCTATTGTTGTTGCCAATAGAAATACGCCTTGCTGGATCGCTACATTACAATGCGACGCAACCGTTGCATAAAACAACGTAGCCTGTGTGTATCTTGGATCTTCAGAGGCTGGGAAATCCATGCGTGTACACAAAAACCTTTTTCAATTTTTCTCTAGGCGCTATACAATTCCAAGTAGAATGTCTGTCCTCAAATTGAGAAATAAAGCTAGGCCTTCTGGAGGAAAAAAATTATATTAATTAATTTCCTACCCATTTTATATGAAAACGTTTAGAATTTTGAAATTACAATTCTTTAGGTCGCCCACGTCCCTATTTCCACGCTGGCAAGGTCACAAAAAGAAGAAAAAGAAAAAAAAAAGAACCATCTAGCGAACTGTACGTTGGAAAATCTGTCAGTAGATACAGCCAAGGGACTGTGTTAATCTTCCAGCGTTAGGAAGTGGGTCGGAAAACAATAGGAATCTGTTCCCGCCATCCCTACCTTGGCGCACCGTTCTTACTATTTTTCTGTCCTCCCGGGCGTTTCTCGAGTCGGTTGCTCTCCACTTCAACTACCCTTCTCCTCTATCCTTGCTCCTTCAGCTACTCTTCTGGCTCATCGGTACAATATTCACCATCCTCCTCGTATAATGCATAACGCCAAGTGGCGTTCGCTTTTCCACAAGGACGTCAACGAACCATCGATCGTGTCTCGAAAAGATTCTATATCATGATAATCGTAGATTCTCTCCGTCAAATATAATCTTTACAGGGTATTTTTTAAACTAAGCGTACAATCGAATATTCATTTTACCATTTTGTAGCAAAATACATGGTTGCAAATTTAATAAATTTGTATTTCTCACCGGTAACCCCCACGGCAATCAACACGGTAATCAGTTAGCGTAGCTTTGAATTACTGTCGAGTAGTTTCTATTTACACCAGGAACAGCGTTGAATACAATTGCATCGTGTCGCGATTCAAACGCAATGCGTCGAGTGGCTCGTATTCCATTTTAATAGAACCACAACAGAGTCTGGCTGTGACGATCGAAATTGTCCTGGTTTCTCATCCTAACACCATCCAGAGTGTTCTACTAATATTTAACAAGCGAACGAGCTTTCGCCCGTGCAACGATCCTGCGCGACTTTGTTTCTGTTTCTCCACCCCCGACGCCTGATAATTATCCTTGCGTTTAACGCGCGACCGAACACTACTGTCAACCTTCTAATTACGTTACCAGCGAAACGCCCCTTTCATTTTTCCCTCTTGATTGACCTTTGTCTTATCTTCAAGGAAATTTCGTGCTTTAATACCTATTAATTAGCGGTGGGCACGTGGAATAATTAATTTAAAAAATTTCAATAAAACCGCCGTGTACCCGTGTTTCAATCGGAACCGCTTTTATCGAGATCTTCTATCGGTTCAGATTCGCGAATGGAAACTCGCGGAGCACACATTTGGAGCATATTTCTCAACGTTCCCGATAAAAGCGAATTTTTCAAGGCTCAACGATTTTTCATTATCCTTCCAGACAAATGCCCCCGTTATTATCAATTTCATGGATGCATCTCTCACGGTTGATTAAACATCCGGCTTTTCGAGCGTGCAAGAGATCCGTCAATGATGGAATTAAAGCACTATTAAAACCGTTCGTCTCGACACAACGTGTGCAGATATTGTAATCATTGTTTGCCAGATAACCGTACTTTAGATCTATGACATCGATACGCGTATCGATGCAATACTGTTTGTCGTTTATTAAATTCTTTATTTGTTCCAGTTTCGATTACCTTCAAATTGTAGAACGACGAAAAAATTCGGTGAACATCAAACGATTTGCGAATTGAAAAGTGGATTCAAAAAGAACGACCTTGACGAAGCAATGATAGTTCTGTGACGACTGTTGAACAGAATATCCTCGGTGTATTTTTTATCCAACGAGAAATAAAAAAAAGAGAAAAGTTTACGCCAGTTTCCTCTGTATCTGGAACGAACGTTTCCTTTTGTTCACGTATTTACAGCCACTGATCAGCGAGAAAGGATTTCCCGGGCATGGCAGTTGCAACAGAAAATATTTGCGAGAAGCTTCAACGACACAAAGTAGAGAAAAAGAACGAAATGAAACACCTTCCCGCCTACGTGCTACGTAAATCTAAACATGTGTTCGCGACCAACGAATATATACCTTTACGATCATGCATAACGTGCGCGTAATTAACGAGATATTTACAGGAAGTGCAAAAGAGTTGGCAAGAAACGTAAGGAGAGAATAGTAAGGTGTTTGAAAATAATGGCATTATGCTTGTGCACTAAGTTGTTTCTATTCTACTCGACGCGGTTCTTTCGTGTTTGCTTACCCTTCGTGAGAGAGTGGCGATTGTGTGCAGAACTGGACCTTTGGTTAGTTTCCTCAGAAGCGGCTCCAGCTGCAACAAAAAACATTTATACAAATTACATAACAAAAGAGTTTCAAATTATTAAATTGTGGCTGGGAGAGAGAAGGATTGCTGAGCGATATCTGAACAATATCTTTTATGAAGTAAAATTTTCGTAGAAGCTGCGGTCGCTTTTAAACTTCTTCGCTGACACCGGCGTTTCCTTTTCACCCTGTCCGGTCACGCGTGTTTCTAAATACCAAGCAGAGTTGTCGCGTTGTCGCCGGCTACTCGCAACAAACTATTCATCAAAGTTAGTCGTGAGAAAGCACATAGAAAATAGCTCTCCCTTTACACCGACATCCATTGACTCTGTATAAGGCTAACTATCGCGATGTTCGCGTCTTTCAGTCGCATCGCTAACAAGCTTATTAACGGTGTCTTCGTTAGGCCTTTTTTTTGCTGCTAATAATAATCATCTCTCGTCGAGAAATTCATCGTTCCGGCAAACCGAGCACGAGTTTCGTTCTAATTAAGTTTCCATAATACAAAATTAACGACGCGTGTATTCGTAGTTTATACTTTTAAGTAATCCTTCGCTTGTTTATACATTTATCTTTAACGTACGGTGTTCCAAGTTTTATTATGGCGAAAGTTTCACCGAACCTTCCTGGGGATTTGCAGAATTATTTAAGAAATTAGATCGTTCCAGGAAAGCTGAAAACAATCCAAAGAACCTCGATTCAGACCCTTCGACCTGATCCGCTAACTTGGTATCGTACTAAAATCGGTTCTCTTCTCTGCTCTGTTCCTGAGAATAAAGTTTGCACGACAACTTAAATTAGAAGACAAAGAACGGTTATCCGATCTTTTCTTCGACCAGTTTGATATAAAGTATCTTTCGAACAAGCCAGAACTTAGCTATCTCATGCCCGCCATTCGTTGCACTCCGACTAGACCGGCATTTCAGAGAATTCACTTCAGAACGACCATTTAGAGAGACAAAAGGCCGAACTGGTGAGTACCAAGATAAATCAGGGAACCTGGTTTTGTGGTCAGTAACGTATAATAACGCGATTTAGCTGGGTGGACATCAATCGATTTGCTGTTTCCAACCCGTTCGCACGTTTACACTGGCACGAAAACACTTCGTTCACAGGTTCTATATTTTATACACCGTCTACTGAGAAATCACCAGAGGTAGTCGATTTATCGAAGGTTTCAACATTAACTCAATTCGTCACTGTTGACCCTGAAACTGTTCCATAAGCTCTTGTGTATATATACTCGTGTGAAATTAATTATAATCACGTCAAACATTAATTAATATCGCGTTTGTAGTAAATTTCTCAATGGAGGAGAGTTCGAGGAGCGGAAAGCGAGCGGCAAATCCAAGGCGAAGGGTCCGAGTACGTTCAATTTGCCGCGAACAAACTACATTATTCCACCGGTCGTCTTGACCCAGGTGTGTGTGCACGCGAGCAAGCAAATTCAACGTTAGGTTAGCAACAATGGCCAAGTGAACTTCGACATTTCAACAGTCCTCCCGTACGCCATTATCGAGAGACGCGAGCCAAGTCGATCGTGCAGAAACTGGCTGAAGACCTATCGCTTCAATTCGTACCCGAGATTCAATTCGGACGATGAAATAAGAAATTAGACATTTTTCTCCTTGGCAATTCGCTCCTCGACTATACACTACGATTTTCAATTACGCTTTAACGCTTGCCAAATTCATAAGACCGAGTCTATGGTATTAAAATCTTGTTCCTTTAGTTCTAACTAGTCTCAATCAAGTCCCGAAAGTTTTTCAATATCTCGCTGGCTGGAAATCGAATTTCAGCGCAACAATTACCATGTATAAATATGTACATCATCGAAGAAATACAAACACGCCATCAAAACTTTGTGCACCGTTCAACCACAAAAGTTTCGGAACCGGGAAAGCGGCATAAACTTTTCACTTTTTCCAGGCTAGATACAAACGCGAAGATATTAACGCGTTCGCTCCATCGCGGATACGTGAACGGTACCCGACCATAAATTGGACCTTGGGTCACGATAGCGACACCACGTCCGGACCCGTTAAATATTAACACGGCAAGGAACAGGAAACTTTATTACAGCTGGGGTATCGAAACGCACGCTTCGTTTCGCAGACGAGAAGTTCGTTCGCTGATTTACGAGTCGCGATATTGGCGGTCGAGGAAAAACGAGTCCTCGTTCATGGAAAAATCAGTTTATCAAACTTTTCTCTTTGGATAACTACCTACTCCTCTAAGTGCTCGTCTCCTCTACAGCACGTTTAGATCCTTCGAGGGATCGTTCCTCCGACCCCTCTGCCAACCGGAGATATCCAAAGCTATTAAAACGTCGCTATCACGGATCGTCCTGGCGAGATAATGAAAACTGAGATGCTGTAATTTTGACGAAGATCGTGCCATAATTTCAATCGAGCGATGATGGACAACAAATATTATTTGGATTTGTAACCTGTTAAAAGGTATCGCTGTTATTGTCTTTAAGGATGCTATTTTCAAAAACAACGCCAACGAAATAATAAAAGAGTAATTATTAAGCTTCAACGCCGAACCCTAAAGAATGAATCACCAAGATTTTTTACATGTAATAAATTCTTATATTGCTAAGAAACATATAATTATTGTATATGTAGCTATTACTTCGCTGATAATAACACATCGAGTTTTCCTTTTTAATGTTATCGTACACATTTAACACTCTTATCAGTACCGTACTCTATATAAGCAGGAAATGTTCAACGTAAAATTAAATTCGCAACAGTTACCTATTCTTTAAAACACGCCAAAAAGAAACATGGCTTTTGCATTCGTTATTCTTTCTGTGACAATATTAATCCTATTAATGTTCTACCTGATCAAGAAATACACCTACTGGAAGAGACAAGGAATTCCAACCGTGAGAGGAACCCTTCCATTCGTTGGTCACATGCTACCTGTGTTAACTACAAAATTAAATTACTCCGAACTAAATCACAAAATGCATATCGAGTATAAAAATCATAGCATGGTTGGATATTACAAATTGACCAATCCAGTGTTGCTGGTCCGTGATCCATATTTAGCCGATATCGTATTGAAGAGCAAATTTTCCTGTTTCCAAAAAACCGGAGTGGTCGCACATCCAGACATGGATCCCCTTCTGGCGAAAAATGCATTTTTCGTTGTTGGCGAAGAATGGGCGAACGCGAGAAGACGTCTGATCAACTCGTTCACGAACGTGAAGTTGAAAACCCTCTTGGAGTCTACTAATGTCGTGTGCAAAAAAATGGAGGATTATATCGATCGAAGGTTGCAGACGACTAAAAAGTACGAAACGGAATTGAAGACATTATGCTTGCAATTTACCGGTGAAATGATTGCGAACGTTGGCGTGGGCGTTGAAGGATACTGTTTCGATGAAATACCGCATCCGGCAGCCTTCAATCGGATCGGCGATTGGTTCTTCAAGTCGAACTTGAGACAAGTGCTAGAGATGACGGTTATGTTCACGCCTGGACTGAACAGTACGCTCAAGATGAAATACATACCAGAGAAAATGGAAAGATTCTTCAGGGACATTGTTTCGCAAAATCTGGAGATCAGACGACAAGATTCAACTCCCAGGTCTGATATTCTCCAATCGATACTCGACTACCTGAACTGGAAGAAAGAGGAGATCGACGAAGAAATGATAGCATCTGACGTGTTATCCTTTTACATGGACGGTTATGAAACATCCGCTATTGCAATTAGTTTCACTGCTTTTCTTCTGGCGCAATACCCAGAAATTCAAGAGAAACTCCGACGGGAAATAATGTCTAAAATCGAGAAATACAACGGTGCCGTAACGTTCGAAGGTTTGAGGGAAATGACATACATGGATCAAGTGATCAACGAAACTCAAAGGCGTTACTCTACTATAAGCTTTATAACTAGAGTGTGTACAGAAGAATGCGAATTGCGCGGCTCGGATGGACTGACCTATCGCGTGGAACCTGGTATGGAAGTGATCGTATCTAATCAAGGTTTCCATTTGGACCCGGAATACTGGCCGGACCCGGAGCTGTTCGATCCCGAACGATTCAGCGAAGAAAGAAAGCATACCATAGAAAAACTGGCGTTCCTTCCCTTTGGAGAAGGTCCAAGATTATGCGCTGGAATGAAAATGGCTCAGCTTCAACTTAAGTCCTTTTTGACCACCTTGATTAGCAAGTATAGATTAGAATTATCAGAGAAAACGCAGCTTCCTATCAAGCTTTCTGGTCTGAATTTTTTAACCGAACCAATTGGAGGACTCTGGGTTCATATTTCCAAGATTTGAAGGCTACTTTTCTGTACTTCGCGACAAAGGATCGATAATACTGGTAATTTACTAAGATAATAAATATTTAGATTTACGTAACACCGACTACTTAACAAAATAATACTGTTTACTCACAATTGCCTCACTTATGATATGCAAAAGTAATTATCGCGATAGCTGTTATCTGTTGTTTGCTGAGCTGGCACAAAAAAATAGCGAACACTGCAATTATTATTACATTAATTTAATAACAGGTATTCGGGCTATTCGAGTATCGATTATCGCTCGAGACTATACAGAAGTTCAACTAATTACAAGAACAATGCAGAAGAACGTCATGTGTCGTGTAAATGAAAATGTTCCTCGCAATAAAACAATTTTCAACGAAACAACGCGTTTTGCGAGAAACGCATAGTTCTCGAAAATAAAAAAAAAAAAAAAAAAAAAGAGATGGGTAGGTATATCCAGTAGAACAATTTGACGTGTGCAGAGAAGTGGATGATAACAGGGAAAAATAATTTTTCTCTCTTTTCCTCTTGAAAATAACGTGTGTGTTTTGCATGGCATTTGTACCATTCGGAACGATACGTTAGCAAACTGTTTGACGAGAGGAATCGAATGAAATCCGCTCGGCAAACGTAACGTGTCAATGCATAAAAGGAAACGACGTGACAAGAGGCACGAAATCGATAGAGAGCAAGGGAGAAAAGGATATAGAGGAGGAATAAAACGAAATAAATTGCAGGAATAAACATGAGACAGAAAACGGCACCACTCGTGTAACGAGCACGTTCGTTTCAACTTCCCGTACGAACACCATTCGCGAAGGACTTTTACTAAATAGTCTTCTGATTTACTGCCACCTCGTCTGGCCACGAATTGTAAATAATCATCCTGATCGTCGAGCAGTTTCGCGCGCACGAACCAACTTCCGGCGTTTTTGTTTCCGGAATTAATTCTCACCACGCGGTAACATTTAACGACGTTGCAAATAATCCTGGAGAAGTTGAAAACTCCTTTGCGTTTCGAGCTTAAATTCATTTTCTACCCTCACGATTTTCACGCAACCGGGGTTAAGGAAATCTCCCAACCCTCGGCCTCTCAAAGACCGAATCGTAATTACTGTACGTACAGAAATACACGGTGAAAAGAATTAATAAAGGTAATACGGAGTTTATGAAAAGCGAGCCTTCTCGAGAGGCACAGGTAAGTGCAAAAGGTGTACGGGATCGTGGAACCGAAAGAATTTTAAGATAAGTTATCGAGTAAAATCGTCATTTAAATTACGAAATTGCAGAAAATTTGCAATCAACGAAACAGCCTCTTCGTTTGTCACACTGTATTATACTGAATATTACACGGATGTTATAACCATTCAGTTCCTCGTTGGAATTCATTAAAAACAATCCCATTAAAGATGATCCTAGTCAAGCAGCAAGCTCGTAACTTTGTGGAAGCGACAGCGGTTCGCGTTTCATAAATTCCCATCGTGGACAAAAGGATCTTCTCTCCTGGCGGCTTGTTCCAGACGATCCCGTCTCAGCCCGAATCTGTATCCGCGTGATTCGAATTTACGGAGCCACGGTAAACCATTGAACGTCGCAATGTTCCGCAGTGGTCGGCCATTAGTGCGAGCGTGCACGCTATCAACCGGCAATAAATTTATCGGGGCCAATGAATGCAACTGAGACTCGTTGCACTCTCTGCCGTCCGTGCGAAGAACAACGAACTTTCCTTATTTGCGTGCATTCGAATCAATCGAAAGGATTCTTAATCGAGTGTCGATTAGCTACTGATAAAATATTACCGAGGTATTTTCAATTAACGTGTTCAGTATGGACATCATAAATTTCGGTTAACCGTGATTTTGATGATATGCAAATTATAAACGCGTGAAACGCGGTTCCACATCGCGTTTAATTAATATTATTAATTAACACTCTGACGGTGGGTATCATTTATTCATACGCAGAATAGAATTAATACTTTTAAAATATTTCTCTAGCTGTAATAGAACAGGGTAGGTACTTCGTTTGAATTAGGTTGACGTAATGGCAAACCGATGTTCATTACAACACGATGATCGATGATAAAATCGATTTTACAGGAGGTAGATCATCGATCGATTCCACACGCACGTAGATATGTTCCCGCGAAATTTAATCGTGACGCGAGAAGGTAATCACGCGGATATGAACGCATTACAGGGACCGGTTAATTCTTCGTCGTTTCATTTCCGGCTCGGGGGAACGAGTTCATTTGCACGTCGTTACCGTGACTCGTGATTATCGTTTGGCACGTTCGCTACGTATATACACGTTCGAATACGTTTCAAGGGCCCGGCGAGCAAATATCAACCGTTTAACTAGTTGGCAAACAGGGGTTAACGCGTTTAGCGGGGCGTTAGCTAAACTTGCGGCCTCCACCAGAGCCCCGTTCCATTCAGCTGGACGAAATGCCAAAGTACACATTCGAAGCCCCCAAGGTACAAGGGATCGATAATTAATTTCAAGACGAATCGTTCATACGATTCGACCATCCGAGGTTGAACGTGTACAAAGAAGAAAAATATTTTTTGACTCATTTTTAGCAGTCATCAAGAGGAAGATTTCTCTTGTTTCGTTTCTGTACAATAAATATTTTCGACCATATAACAATCACTTGATAGCTCCAACTCGATTCTAATACGACGGTGGACTTTCAGATTCGCACGTTGACCCAATAAAATTTGCAGATTGCCACAGAATTGTCCGATATTTCTATCGATAAATCACCAACGTTCTACCAGCAATTAAGAGAACTTCTGAGCAGTCATCGAGTCTGCAAATACATTTATGATGAATATTCGTTCTTTGTGAATACGAGACGACGGATGAGTCGTCGGTTAAGCTCATGCTTCCAGTAGCAATTAAAGAGTTTCCCTCTCTTTTATTATTTATTTATCGCGTTTCGAAACGTTCGACTTTACCATCGATGAGACTGATTTCAAATTAAAGGCGGCCCACATCTCGGAGAACGAGTAAGTATTGACGACGGATGGAAGAGGAGGGCCACTAACTAGCTGTAGTCAGCGAAAATTAATCGACCTGTTCAAGCCGCGAACGCGTATTACTTTCGACCTTTAAAAACACTGCTACAAAGCGTGGACGTTACGTAGCGATTTTTTTGACATGCGACCTGATGAATTTTACAATTCATCATCCCATACATCGCGTGTTTTATTTGTCGAATTTTAATCTCGTGAAGATTCTTCCTCAACCTCTGAATAACGTCTACCGTGGATCATGAAGCAATTAAAATATTCATTAAATTCGTTGGTCATCATCTGTGAAAATTGAAAGCTACTTCTATCCCTAAAAATATAAACCTCTCTTGAAAAAGAAAATCATTTTAATTTCTACCTTTGAAATAACTTTTATATTCGTTTTCACTGTACTTGACACGCAGCCGTAGCTCCGAGCAACCGACGCGCGACGTCGCGACGCTGATTTAAATCAAGAACACCGGCCACTCGGATTGCTTCGGTTCATCGGACCCAACGCCGGTTAATTACACTTCGGCGTCGAGGCGCGTCAGAAAACGCAGCTGCCCTTCGTGCTTTTAACGTTCCGACTAATTACCAATGGCGCATAAATCCCCTTTCCTCTTTGGGCCAAAAGAAAAGCAGCTTAAGTCGCATCATGCTAACTCCGCGGAACTTGAGAAATTTAATTATCAACAGCCAGGAGTCGGTGAAAATTTTATCTCGATAGAATTATAGGACGAAGGAGTTCGCCAAAATTAATTAAAATAAATTAAAATTCGTGAATAGATTTTAATTAAAACACGGTAAGACTCGGTCACGAGTCCAATGAAGATTTCTCCAGGATCATTAACCTCTTACATGATCGTCAAAACGATTAATCATCAATGGACACCCAACGACGTCCAGTTTACCAATGGATACGCTCTGACAATAATCACGAGACAGGGAGTGTACATCTGAGTTGATCGATGAGCTTGCTTGTCGAGTAATTAATCCGAGGATCCAGGGAGCTGTCTGTGCCGATCTGCGAGATCCCGCAATCGAGCTACGCCACTCGATCGATACTCTTCGAAAGGAATTTTTCGTCGGAACAAGAGGAATCGAATGACTTCGACCGCCGTGGGGCGCGAGGCCAGCCAAGCGAATACCGCAATGCTCGCTGATGTAATTATCGCGAAAAATAAAGATGACATGTACAACAGTCTGTCTGTCCGGTTGCATTAATCGAACGGTTCCTGTTCTTGGCTATCGATCTCTCCAAAAAAACGAGTCGCTTATCGGGTTCCTTGCAGGCAATGGGAGCAAAGAAAATTTTAATCAACGACGACAACGAAGAAGAAGAAGAAGAAGCGGAGGAGAAAGGTTGCTCAAATGCTGTGCTCTCATGCTCGCGTGAGTTGAAATGACAGGCCCCGACCGATTAAGCTCCTTTTTATTACGAACACGTAAAATGTAGCACGATATGGAGCAAGGCACCGTAATGCACGGGTTTTAACGATTTTAAGCGATTTTAATTTTAGACCAACGATAAAACGAGCACTTTGGGAACAGGCCTTGATCTCTTTCGATCGTTCAGTCACAACCTCCGTTAATGGCACTCCAATTGTGAACCTATTTACTGTGCACGTGTGCGTATACCAACTTATATTAAAATTATGAAATTTTAAATAAATCATTAAGAAATTTGACGAGTTCATCTAAATTAATGACTATTTATACCGTAAATTGTATCAGTGCATAATTACTGTAGTAGCTTGAGGGGCTGAAGTAACACATGAATGCGCGACTCAAGTGAACTCCACGGGACAAGCTTCCGATGCAAATAAGCCATTAGACCAAGTGTCCGCGTGTATAACCCAGAATGAAATTACTTGTCCGCTCCTCAAAGGACAATGCGTTTAGTCTCGTGGTGCACAGGTAGTCAGAAGATGGAACCGAATCAGAGCACGAAACTGACGTGCATTCAATTACAATGTAATTGCATTTCACGCGCGTTCACGACGGTTAACGCGTACGCTAAATAATTTTAGCCAGATTGTCGGCCGTCCGTTTAACTGAATAAATTAGTAACAACCTAAAAACGTTTTCCATGCTGCCAGTCACCATTGCGACAGCTTTCCCTGCTACTCGAGAAAGCGTTGAAATCATTTGCACGCCCTTTAAATGTTTACCGTGGCGAACAGTTTGCGCTCGGTCGAATTGTAGTGGAAAAGAGAAAATAAACTCAGGAAAGAACGTTTCTTGAAACAGTGAAAACCGCTGTTACGTGAATGAAGAAACAACTGTATGTATCAAGAGGAAGCGTTAACGAGCATCGAGGGGAAAAAACTAATCATCTATTTCCATAGGATACTATTTGAATGCAGGCTATTTTAATTGAATGAGAAAATGTATATTAATCATTAAACTTTCTCTCTAAGTTCGCTTTCCGTGAACCGTTAATTAGGAAAATCTGCCGTTAACGTTGAAGACTTCATTCACGTAACAAACTTTCATCCTATCGTACACATTCGTATTCGATGCAAAATTTCTTGCCGCGATTGCAATTTGGCAAAGTTAGATTCGCTAGGAAAAACGAATTGGGTCGATGTTACAGACAATGAACACGGTCGACCAAGCGTTAGTGAAAAAAAAAAAATAGTTGCATCTGGCGTCTTATTGTTCTTGCGGGATGCACCATTTATCACTGCAGATGCTTGCATCTGACACGCGATGCTCCCGGCATAGATAAATGTCATGAGGCTCGTGACAAGCCGTCTTACTACGCTTTCAGGCTGCTCTTCACGCTCGTCGAGGGACCAGCGCTCCGTGTGCAACATTCTAGCGAGTAAAGAAAGGCTACAAGCTTAAAGGGTACTTCAGACTATTTCTCATTACGTGCCACGTGTGGATCGTAACGCGAAAGTCATCTTTGCTCGACGAACAAACTGTCATCTCGTACGCAGAGAGTTTATAATTAACCATTTGCACTGAGACGACGCGTCTCGTTAAAAAATCTTTACCCCTCTTTCTCTATGACGAGAAAATTTGCTGAAAGTGATTTTGCAGCGAAGCACAATTTAACAAGTCCTTTGACGCATCTCCGGTAATTAGTTTCATAATTAATCGAAAAGTGGAAAGTTTATAAAATATACTATTTGAAAAGGAATACGCAACAAACTGAAGAAAGGGAAAAAGAGAGAAGTAAGAGGTGAAAATTAATTGCAAACGACAAAAGCGAAGATGAATGGATTTTGCCGCTTCCGATAGAGCGACGATGAAAATCTCGCGAATTGTACGGCACAGTTTTCATTTCGTCGCGAGAAACGATTCGTTATGAAATGAAACCGTGGACGAAAAAAAAGGCATCGTGC